TTATATGAATATTTTTGAATATTTTGTATTTATCAATTATTTTTGAAATTAACAATTTTTATGTTACTACTGTAACAATATCCACAGACAACTTGAATCTTTCGATTATCGATAATTCCATTGGCTAGTGCCACCACTTCAAAATCTTGGAGTCATTCTACAAAATTTTGATCTCTACCTTTGTATTTTCAGATTTGGATAATCATCTTTTCATTGTTTCTATGATTTAGTGAAAGAATCAATTCACCGATTGCTTCAATAACTGCTTGAATGGACATTGTGATTATTTCAAAATGGAATACTGAGAAATCGGAATATGTATTGAATTCGGGTATGAAGTCGTAACTGTCAGTAAAGAAGTGATTTATTTCAGTTGCTTTTGTGTTGCTAGTTGTCTCAGAGTAGAAGCCGTCAGATAAATTAGAGTCTTCTTTGAATTCTTGGTTGAAAAAGCCTTCAAGTGTTGTTTTAACTAGGAAGAGTTGGTGTTCAACTATGTGTTGATTTTGATAGATTAGAATGTTTAATAGTTGAATTACTCGTCTTCATAGTTCTTCTCTTTCAATGATATTAAAATCTGTTACAATAATGTCTTTGAATAATTGTTCAGTGATGAAAGATCTAGATATTACACCTCATTCTTGGATCCAGTTGAGAAAGTTGGCTAAGAGTTCAGTTGCTGTATCAGAAGGTGGAAAGCAGATGTGGCAATAATATTGTTGATTTATTCAAAGTGTTGTTTCTCAGCGTTGATTTTCCAGATGAGTGTTGAAATGTGCGGTAGTAGGTTCTCCAATAAAGTTATAATAATTGTTCATAAAGGGGGGTTTTAATTAAGGATTGGAATATAAATATTCATAAAGGGGATTGCAAAGGGGATTGTAAAAGAGAATTTTTTTGGTAATTGGTTTTTAAATAAGGTAAGGAGATTAATTAAATGATAATAGAAGGAAAAAGGGATTTGATAATTCACAAAGGAGCTGATATTCCACAGAGAGTGCACCAAAATATGCTACGGTTACTTTAAATGAAGGGTTTCTTCACTATTAGTAAAAGAGTCATATGAATTGGGAGAGAGGAATAGACT